CGTATGATGTCGTTTTAAGTGCGTTAACAAGTTCGACGTGTTGCTGCGGCAGATCCAATCTCCGTGAAACAACATCATCACACGGCTTTATCTTAACAAGAAAGCCATAATGTTCCCCAACAGGAGACTGCAATGAGATGCTAGGCTGCTAATGCTAGCCAGCTGCAAGATAAAAGCACTAAAACACGCTTAGGAATTTTAGTTCCGCGTCTCATAATCTCTTGTTAATAAAATTTAATGAGTGAAAAAAATAACGGTACACACATGGACCGAACCGAACGTGCCGTACCGAAACGGTTCAGTACACCCACGTATACTGTTATACCCTTACTTACATGTGTGGGAGGGGGGGTTGTTTGTTTCACGCCAAACCATCAAGATTATTTATAATAGGAACATCAATCTGCTGCTGCTTATCTGACAAGTACACTTGTCTTATCCTTGTATGTCAGGTGATCACATCACGGGGGGGACGTTTCCTGGAGGCTCCAGTTTCAGGAAGCCAGCAGCTCTCCAACGAGGGGATGTTGGTGATCCTGGCGGCCGGTGACCGGACGGTGTATGAGGACTGCAGCAGCTGCTTTCAGGCCATGGGCAAGACCTCGTTCTTCCTCGGTATGCTGGTTGCTCCTCTCAGCAAAACATGGCAGTGATTAGGACGTAAATAAACGGTCATTAGTTCAAACTTTGTTTGTGGAATATTTCAGAGACATAACACCACAAACTGTTGTGGACCCATTAGATATACAAGAGACAGCTGCAGGAAGTTAAAGAACCAAAGAATGAACGCCCCTAGAGGCTGGCTACAATACAGTTTTAATTTCCACACTCCAAATCAACGGATGGAACATCCATCCATCCATCCATCCATCCATCCATTTTCTTCTGCTTATCCGGGGTCGGGTCGCAGGGGTAGCAGCCTAAGTAGGGAGGCCCAGACTTCCCTCTCCCCAGCCACTTGGGCCAGCTCTTCCAGGGGGATCCCGAGGCGTTCCCAGGCCAGACGAGAAATATAGTCCCTCCAGCATGTCCTGGGTCTTCCTCTGGGCCTCTTTCCGGTGGGACGTGTCCGGGCCATCTGAACTGGCTCCTCTCAACGTGGAGAAGCAGCGGCTCTACTCTGAGTCCCTCCCGGATGATCAACCTTCTCACCCTATCTCTAAGGGAGAGCCCAGACACCCTGCGGAGAAAACTCATTTTGGCCGCTTGTATCCGAGATCTCATTCTTTCAGTCGCAACCCAAAGCTCGTGACCATAGATGAGGGTAAGACCTCCTCCCTGACCCGGATGGAACATTTTCCTGACTAAAACTAAAAATACATGTTTTCAGATTCTAATTTTCGTTGACTTGTGTACTTCCTGCTGCTTAATTTTATATATATATATATATATATATATATATATATATATATATCAGAAAGGAGCATTTCCCTCCATGGAGAAGGAGGCTGGTAGCTAAGAACAAGGCAACACGGAGAGAAAGCAGCCAACTGTCAAAACAGCAGAAAGGTTGACTGCCAATCAATGCCTCAAAGCTCTGGCTACTTGCCCACTCAAGAAGCAGAAGCCAGTACTCTCCACCACACCATCCAGAGTGTTCTACCAATGGCAGGGAAACAACCTAAGGGTAGATCCACCCAGAGCTGAGACTGAGCAACAGTGGAGAAGCCTATGGGAGGAGGCGGCACACAGGCATTATAGCAGCTACAGGTCAATCCTGAAAGAGACAAAGAAACAAGTTGGCCCCAACACCAGGGCAGCCAAGCACCAGCTACTGGTCGACAGAACTGTAGCTCGAACTGAGATCAGATTCAATGCCACACACATGTCCATCCAGTATGTTAATGAGGTATTTTACTATATGTGCACACTTCACACATAGTCCTTGGCCAAAGAGACAGAACACCCACATTCTGGTGACAGGTAATAATAAAAATGTAAAAATAATACTGCAAATGACTCTTGTGTTTGACCATGTATACCCAGATGGTTGTTATTAGCAGAACAACAGGATGTCCTGGTTTTCATCAGGTATTGGCAATTCAGAACTTTTAGCCTGAAAAAAAACGATGAATTGAATTATAACCATTCGTATTTTTCTGCCTTTTTGTGTAAGGAAACGTGTCTTTGTGTTTCCAGGCGAAGCAGGCAATGCATCAAAAATGATGCTGATCCTGAACATGGTCCAGGGCAGCTTCATGGCCACCATTGCAGAGGGGCTCACTCTGGCCCAGGCCACTGGCCAATCGCAGCAGACCTTCCTGGACATCCTGTGCCAGGGCCAGATGGCTAGCACCTTTGTGGACCAGAAATGTCAAAGTGAGAACTGTAGGACTCCAAAGTAACCTGCTAGTTGATGTGCATTGTGGTTGCAGGATACCTTACTTTGAGATGTTTAAAAGACTGACTGAGGTGGACTGCACACAATCGGTGTAAAAGCTGTCTGCTTAAGATTTAAATTCTACTGTTTTCAACAGATCAAAACTCATAAAAGAAGTTAAACCATCAAAAACAAACTATCATTGATTAATATTTTTGTCCAGTTGCCTAACCCTGAAGTGTACTGCCCTTTACATTTGAAGATAGGGTGTTGACCTTTTCTTTTGTTTCTGTCAGATATTTTGCAGGGCAACTTTAAACCAGACTACTATTTGAAACACATTCAAAAGGACCTGAGGCTAGCCATCTCCATGGGTGACATGGCCAACCATCCAACCCCAATGGCTGCAGCTGCCAATGAGGTACAACTCTTTATATTAGTTATTCTTGAAATAATTTAAATAAATAATATTTTACATATGCGAGAAAATATTTATTGCAAATAGTGTAGAGGAAAATGTGACTCTTGGACTTTTCTACATTAACCACAGTTTGTTGTTTTGCAAAGGGGTGTAACTGTACATACAGTTGGTCCAAACAACCGCAGTTCCAATGTTGGGGGTCAATGAATGATTCATGACTAGGCAGTTTTTGGTGTCTTTGTTCTGTGTTTACCTCTGCTAAACTTTGTAACTGAGACAGGAAACCTAACCTGAAGCAAAAGCAACCAGCATTCGACATTTGTTTTTGTTTTTTTCCTGGTGAACTAAAACCAAGGGACGTCCTAAACTATGGCCTGTGTGTCCAGTTACATCCCAATACAGACCTGGTCCTCTTGTATCTCATTGAAAATTTATTTCTTGTGAAAAGCAACTGTCTTAAAATATATTTACATGCTTTTAGTAAGTGGTAGGGTGAAGGTTGTATCGTGAAGGGCATCTGACGTAAAACACTTAAGCCAAAACTATAATGCGAGTTCATTAAAGAGAAAACATACCGGATCAGTCGAGGCCCAGGTGAACGACTGCCACCGGTGCTGTTGGCAAACAGGGTGCTGGTGGAAATTGTACTACTGTTAGTCAAAGACCACAAGGAGGGAAACGTGTCAGGAGACAGAGGGAGAAGAGGAAAGTGAAGAATGTAGGACTGAGGGCTGCAACTCTAAATGTGGGAACAATGACAGGCAAAGGTAGAGAGCTGGCTGACCTGATGCAGAGAAGGAAGGTAGATGTTTGGTGTCCAAGAGACCAAGTGGAAAGGCAACAAGGCTCGCAACATTGGAGCAGGGTTCAAACTGTTTTACCATGGTGAGGATAGAAAGAGAAATAGAGTAGGGGTGGTCCTGATGTAGGAGTTGGCAAATAATGTAGTAGAGGTGAAGAGAGTGTTACATAGAGTGATGTGCCTGAAGGGAGAAGTAGAAGGTCTGATTCTAAACAACATCAGTGGTTATGCTCCACAGGTTGGATGTGATGTAAAAGAGAAAGACAAATTTAGGAAGAATCTGGATGTTTCTAAAAAAGTTAAATCTGGTCCTCTGGACATTCAAAAAACAACAAAGCAAAACAACAAAAAATGTAGAAACATTTCGTCTTTCATCCGAAAGACTTCCTCAGTCTGAGGTGCTGTATTCAGCTCAGTCTTATAAATAGCACCTTCTCAGAGTGGATCAACCAGTTTTGCTGCTGACAACCTAAACCAACTGCTCACATGATCAAGAAGGACCATCAGCCTAACAATGGATCATTAGCACACTCATGGCTGTTTACTATTCACAGGAGGCTGAGTGATACTAGCAATAACAGCATTGTAAGAGGGGGGACAGTTGAACACGGAGGCCTCCACCCCTGTTTAATGATGGACGAATGATGAACTTTGCGGTTGCACCAAGTAGAATTCCTCTGGTGGAGATGATCATAGCCACAGAATCAGCCATCCGCAACAACAAAATTAAAGAGAGTGAAGCAGAACAGCCCAGAATCAAAGTTTCAGCCTGCCTCATCAATGCCAAACCACCACCTTCCAACATCAGTAGAGAGGAGAGGGACGCACTCACCACTCTTAGCAAGGACAAAAACATCATCATTCTCCCAGCAGACAAAGGAAGGTGCACAGTGATTTTGAACCAGAAAGACTATCATGAGAAAGTTATGACACACCTTAGTGACTTAACCACTTGTGAACCTCTGAAAAGAGATCCAGGAAGTGGTTACATGAATTGCCTGAAAATTTTAGAACAGGATAAGGCTATTGACCGTTTTCTGTACCACAGACTGTACCCAGGGGAGGCCAAACCTATGGTTTACCTAAAATCTACAAAAAAGGTGTACCTTTAAGACCAATTGTTAGCATGATTAACTCTGTCACTTACAATGTTTCCAACTAGCTGGCGTCTGTACTCATCCCTTTAGTTGGCAGCTCAGAACACCACATACAGAACACCATGGACTTTGTGGATAAGGTGAGGGATGTCATCATGGAGACTGATGAAGCAATGGTCTATTGTGATGTCACATCACCCTTTACGTGCATTCCTGTTGATGATGCAGTAGAATTGGTCAGTTTAAGATTAAAATCAGACACCACTCTAAGCAGCAGGACCACGCTTTCCACAGAACAACTGTGTCAACTCGAAACTGTGCCTGCAGTCAACCTACTTCACATATGGGGAGCAATATTATAGGCAGAAATATGGGTGTGCTATGGGGTCTCCAGTTTCTCCTATTGTGGCCAATCTGTACATGGAGGAGGTAGAAAAGAGAGCCTTGACGTCCTTTTCAGTGACACCACCAAGTCATTGGTTCAGGTATGTTGATGACACCTGGGTTTAAATTAAATCTCAGGAAGTCCAACATTTTACTGACCACATCAACTCTGTTGATAAATACATCAAGTTCACACGAGAAGATGTTAAAAATGGCAGGTTGACTTTCTTGGACTGTGTGGTCTCAGTCTTTGACAGAGGACATTTGCAAACTGAGGTGTACCGCAAACCCACCCACACAGACCAATATTTGCAATTTGACTCCCATCACCCTTTGACGCACAACTTAGGAGTCATCAGGACTCTGTACCACAGAGCAGACAGCGTCCCCACTAACTCAGGAGCCAGGCAGAAGGAGAAATCCCACTCAAGACAGGCTCTAGAGCAATGTGGATATCCTAACTGGGCCTTCCTGAAAGCAGAGAAGAAACCCAAACAGGATTCCAGTCAGCCATCAGGTGAAAAGGAGGATCCCAGACCAGTGGTCATTCCGTATGTTGCGGGAGTATCAAAGAAACTGAGACGTTTATTTTCTAAACATAACGTCCCAGTGGCTTTTAAACTCCAAAGTACATTACGGCAAAGACTGGTTCATCCCAAAGATCCAGTCCCCCGGCACAAACAGAGTAATATTGTGTATGCTGTTAAGTGTCAAGAGGGCTGTGATCAGTCTTACATCGGGGAAACTATACAGCCACTAGCCAAAAGGATGATCCAGCACAGAAGATCAACATCATCAGGCCAGGACTCTGCGGTCTACACTCATCTCCAGGCCAGCGGTCACTCTTTCAAGGATGAAGATGTTCACATCCTGGATAGAGGGGAACGATAGTTTGAGTGTACTGTATGCAGAGGGTTCAGACATGATACTCCAGCGTACACCCCGAGCAGCTGCAGAGCAGCTTCACAGACGAGGGGCGTTTACCTTTGGGACAAATTGAGGTCGCGATTGGTCATTTGCTGACATGCCTACTGGATTGATTGACAGGTTGGAAAAAAGAAAAAAAAGTGAGCGCTGGCAGCCTCCGCCACAGCTGTGTTCTGTGTTTATATGTTGTTAATAAAAAGATCTAAAAAAAAAAAAAAAAAAAAACAGCGCTGGCTTTACAGCCCGCACATCAGACCAGCCCACCAGGAAATCTCCAGACCCTCTCGCAGCCACGCTGGACCTGAGTTTAATTCGCTCGTGACAAATTCCTCCATTTCTCACCATTTCATGGCATCAACGGAGGAGGAAGAGATCACTGCCTCTTGACAAAAAAAAAACAAAAGAAAAGGCCAGATCAGGGATGAAGAAGGGGAATTTATTACATTGGTGTCGCATACAAAACAGTCCGTCGCCGGGCAGTTTATTGTGCGACACCGCGTACGCGGTCGTAAAAATTTGAGCTTTGCACGGAGGGTACGCTGGGGGGTACGCACGTACCTCTGCGTACGTACATGCATACCTCTGCGTATGGATGTACGTGGCAGTATACTGGGGGCTTAAAGGAGGCCATCTTTGTGAAAAGAAATCGTCCATCATTAAACAGGGGTGGAGGTCTACGTGTTCAACTGTCCCCCTCTTACAATGCTGTGATTGCTATTATCACTCAGCCTCCTGTGAATAGTAAACAGCCATCAGTGTGCTAATGATCCATTGTTAGGCTGATGGTCCTTCTTGACCATGTGAGCAGCTTGTTTTGGTTGTCAGCAGCAAAACTGGTTGATCCACTCTGAGAAGGTGCTGTTTATAAGGTTGTTTTCACAACCGATAGTCTGGTAGACTCGGTTCGGTTGGGGACCAATATTCATGACATTTTGTTTACATTTGAGCTGGTGCATTTGCATTCACACTGCACTGTGCAGTCGAGCCAACCTGTTGAACCAACCTGTTCCCCCGCTTGCCTGTGGGGGCGCTGCACCAAGAACTACTGAAAGAAACAACACAAAAGCCTTTGAAGACACTTCTTCTTCTGGAAATAAAAACAAAAACGGAGTGGCATCAAGTTTTATCAGTTTTAGGAGTTATATTTTGTCATTTTTCAAAAATGGAGTCAGCATGAGCAGAAGATGAGGCAGAAGACCATGGAGAATGTTATTTTTCACACAAGGCGGCTGACGGCTCCATATAAGGTAAGAGAAATGCGTGTTTGTTTACCCTGCGGAGCGGGGCCCGGTCTGTTTACATTCACACTGCACTCGAACCGCGCTGGAGTTCTCTTCTACCGGACCGAGACCTAGGTTTTAGCCCGGGCCAGAGTTCGCCTTTTTGTTCCGTGACAGAGTTCGATGGTGCGTTCACACCTCCCCAAACGAACCGGACATCCTAGGAAAACGAGCTAGAGTTCGATTAAAGCGGACTAAACAGGGCTGGTGTGAATGCACCCAAAGACTGAGCTGAATACAGCACCTCAGACTGAGGAAGTCTTTTGGATGAAAGACGAAACGTTTCTACATTTTTTTGTTGTTTTGCTTTGTTTTGTTTTTTGAATGTCCAGAGGACCAGATTTAACTTTTTTAGATTTTTCTACCTGGATTATTGAGCATGCATCAGGAAAATCTGGATGAAGTGATAGAGAGTATTCCCAGGGAGGAGAGAGTGGTGATCGGAGCAGACCTGAATGGACATGTTTGTGAAGGAATCGGGGGTGGGGGGTTGAGGAAGTGATGGGCAGGTTTGGTATCAAGGAAAGAAACCAGGAAAGACAGATGGTGTTGGATTTTTCCAAGAGAATGGAAATGGCTGTAGTCAACACTTATTTCCAAAAGAGGGAGGAACATAAAGTGACATACAGTAAAGTTTTCAACCTGTTTGACACGACTGTCAACAAGGAAGAGCGCCGGCAATGTAGGAGGGGGCGTACCAAAGAGACCATCTTATCACGGTCAAGACTGGTTTGTTCCACTTTGGAGTAAGCTGTTGGGTGAAGAATCAGTTTCGTTGTGTTTCCTTGACTGATGAAGCCTTCCAGATCGAATGCAAAACGTTTCAGCACAAAAAAACAAACTGCCCAGATGACCTGACTGAAAAATGTTGGATTGTATACCTGGATTATTGAGCATGGACTTTCTTGTTAACATAAAGTGACCTATTAGAGTGGAGGAGGGAGTACGCAGGTCGACTACATTCTCTGTAGAAGAGGAAATCTGAGGGAGATTGGAGACTGTAAGGTTGTGGCAGGGGAGAACGTGGCCAGACAGCACCTGATGGTTGTGTGTAGAAAGACTGTTGCTGTGAAGAAGAGGAAAAAGAGTAAAATCAGAGAAGAAGACCAAATGGTGGAAGCTGAAGAAGGAAGAATGTTGTGAGAAATTCAGATAGGAGCTGTTAAAGGCTCTTGGTAGTAAGAAAGGGCTTCCAAATGACTGGACTACTACAGCAACAGTAATTAGAGAGACAGGTAGGAAGGTACTTGGTGTGTCATCTGGACAGAGAATGGATGATTAGGAAACCTGGTGGTGGAATAGTGAAGTGCAGGATTCCATTCAAAGAAAGAGATTAGCCAAGAAGAAATATGACAGTGAGAGACTGAAGAGTGAAGACAGGAGGAGATGGGACAAAGAAGGAGGTAGCTAAGGCAAAGTGGAAGGTGTTTGATGAGTTGTATGGGAGACTGGACACTAAAGAGGGCAAGAAGGACTTGTACCAATTTGTGAGAAAGAGGGATCAGGCTGGAAAGGATGTGCAGCAGGTTAGACTTGTTAAAGATAGGAATTGTAATGTTCTAACAAGAGAGGAGAGTGTGATGGGAAGATGGAAGGAGTACTTTGAGGAGCTAATGATAGAAGAGAATGAAAGAGAAAGATGAGTAGAGGTCATAGAAACTGTGGACCAGGAAGTAGATTAGTGAGGGTGAAGTCCGGAAAGCTCTGAAAAGAATGAAGAAGGGGACGGCAGTAGGACCTGATGACATACCAGTGAAGGTTTGGAAATGTCTTTAAGAGATTGCAGTGAGGTTTTTGACTCAAATATTCAATGACATATATGAGGGTGAGAAAATGCCTGAGGAATGGAGAAGAAGTGTGCTGGTGCCCATTTTTAAGAACAAGGGTGATGTACAGAGTTGTAGCAACTACATGAGATTTAAGTTGATGAGTCACACAATGAAGATCTGGGAGAGAGTTGTGGAAACAAGACTTGGACGAGAGGTGACTGTGAGCAGCAGTATGGTTTCATGCCAAGAAAGAGAACCAGAGATAGTTCTCCTCTTTGCTTTGAGAATGCTGATGGAGAAGTACAGAGCGGGTCAGAAAGAACTTCATTGTGTCTTTGGGGATTTAGAAAAAGCATATGACAGAGTGCTGAGGGAGGAGGTGTGGTATTACATGAAGAAATCGGGAGTGGCAGAGGAATGTGTTAGACTGGTACAGGACATGTATGAAGACAGCAGGACATGTATGAAGACAGCAGGACAGTGGTGAAATGTGCTGAAGGAGTGACAGATAGCTTCAAGGTGGGGCAGCAGCATTTTGGATGAATGCAAGACTTTTTAAAGAAGTTTTTGGACACCCAGATTTATTTATTTATTCATTCATTTCAAATAAACAAAAGAAACAAAACAAATCCATTAAAAAGAAAAACGCTGAATGAAAAGGATGCAAAAAAAAGAAAATTCTTATATCTGCCCCTTATTTTTAAAAAAAAACTACAAATGAATAACAACTTAAAATTGAACAGTCTCCAAAGTGAAAACAAAAAATATTAGATATCCTTCACATGGCACCATACTTTCCCAACAATTTTAACTTAATCATCTTTTTAAACAAATAAATTGTCTTTATAAATTTTTATGGTGATATCAAGGCAATTCCTCAATCTTATTCCCTGAAATAGAACGCAACGTTCCTTCAGACTAGTTCTAAATGGAGCTTTTACAAACATTTCCATTTTCTTAAGGTTAAGATAAAAAACCACTGCAATAGTCCATCCTAAATGTATGGACCGGTTTTTCTGTATCATTTTTAGATGAGATGTTTTTAATCTTAGCGAGGAAAGCAGTTTTGGTAACGTTTCTAATGTGGGGGATAAAAGACATGTCCTGATCAAAAATAACACCAAGATTTTTAACATTAGAGCTGGAGGACAGATTAATGTCATCTGAGGACGAAAAACTGAAAAATGTATTCCTAAGATGCTCAGGTTCAAAAACCAAAACCTCAGTGTTGTCTGTGTTAAAGGAGAAAATTAAGGGTCATCCAGGTTTTTATGTCTTTAAGACATGCTTGTAGTCTAAGTAGCTGATTGGATTCATTGGGTTTAATGGACAAATATAACTGTATCATCAGCATAACGATGAACATTTATCCCATGTTGTTTAATAACTTTACCTAATGGAAGCATATATAAAGTAAAGAGTATTGGTCAAAGCACGGAACCCTGAGGAACTCCATGAATAACTTTGGTGTAGAAGATTATTTATATTTACAAACTGGAATCTATCAGACAGATATGATTTAAACCAATTTTAGAGCTGTTTCTGTAATCCCAACATCATATTCAAGCCTCTGTAATAAAATATTGTGATCAACTGTATCAAATGCAGCACTGAGGTGTAACAATGCAACCACAGGTTGATCAGACAGATAATGGGGATGGTAGAAAAAGGAAAGCATCCAGAAGTATTTGAAGTAAAGTCTAACACACCTGTTTCTGATGGCACCATCTGTTAATGATGGAGGAAGATGCAGGAAGCTCCACTACTGACAGGAAAACAAAAAGGAGGACCTGGACAGATTCTGGGACTGATGAAACTGAACAGGAGTCTTTTTGTTCCAATCACATCACTTAATGCTCACAACACATGAATCTGAGTGTGGATGATTGTTTGCACGTGAATAAATATATTGAGGATGAAAAGAGTAAGAGATTTTCTGTGACTCTGCAGGTTTACAAGAGGGCTAAAGCCCTGGACCAGTCAGACAACGACATCTCTGCGGTCTACAGAGCCTACATCCACTAGAGCCAGGTGTGACCCATCCTCTGGACCACAGTCTTTAATCACTTCTTTCTTTTGTCTTTAATGAATTTTATTTGAAGTTTTAGTGGGTCTGTTTTCATTTAGCCCCAGTGCTAGCCACGTTACACCCCCACCCCCCCTCAAGTCCTGGGACCGTCGCCCTTTGAGTTGTACTTTTCGTTTTTTTAAGAGGCCACCTTGAGCGTTGCACTGACCATACTGGGAGGATAGACGTGCTCCTGATGAGGTTCACTACTGCAGTTTCAATGACAGGCATCAAGTCTGGGCAATGTGCTGTGGGGGGTCCAGTCCCACAAACTGCTGTCAGCTGTTGTGAAAACAGAAAGCCTAAAAATGTCTTCTTTTCTTTGCTGTGTATTTAATTGAGTGTAATCTTTTCTTTTAATGTTTAGAAGTCGGTGAGGAAACGACCCCACCAAGAGCATGCCGCTGCATTGCCTTAACCTTTGCCCCCCCTCCCCTGTGCTTCATCTGTATTTATTTCAGCTGTTGGTGCAGCATCACCACAGCTGCTTCTTCCTGTGTTTCATCAGAGTAATGTGTATTTAGGCCTTCAAATGCAGTAAGGATAGATTGTTCTTTTCAACAAAATGTGTGATTTTCACATTTAACATCATTTCTTTAGTTTGGAAGAGTTCTCATTTTACTGCTCTGATCATCTATTTAAGTTGTCTTTAAGTTAATAATTGAGCCCCATTGTCAGTAATCTTTCTCCTTTGGGATGCTGATAAAAGATGAGAAAGACTATTAAAAATTCCCTTTGTGTTTTTTTTATGGATTTCAACTCATTCAGCTGAGCTTTGGTGAAACTGTTACAAACTCACTTTGGTCTGGTTCTTGTTACATTTTCATGAACAGCCCATCAGAACCTGAGTCCAGATCTCTAACAGGTCTGTTTGAGCTTCAGCTGAGCACATCTCAACTGTACAACTAGTTCACAATGTTTTACACAAACCTGAAGTGACCAATAAAAATCAATTTCATCTGATGTTCATAAACAAAAAATTAATGTCTTTATTTCAACTAATACAAAGATACCAAAAATTTATTCAAAAGTAATTTGTTATTTTACATTTATTGGGCCATTTAGACACAGGATACAACTAAAGCCTTAAATAATTTCACAATCCACATTATATTATCTACGGAAGAGGATAACAGACACGGTGGTGAAAAGTAAATATTTTTTTACAATTCTGACTTTTTTCTGATAGAATTATTTTATTTATATATCTTTTACCTTGGCCCTAATCCCTTTTGAGCT